CCTTGTTACGCGGATGATTATGGATTCTTATGATCGTTATACTCTAGTGATGGATTGCATCTAGCTTGTTAGTATTCCAGTTGCATGTTTCTATTTATTATTATTGTTATTGCATTGGTCATTCGGCCGTTCCTATTTTCTTTGTGGGGTCGGATCTTGCCGTGCGTCATGCACCTGACGTACACCTATTTTCTCTGGTGTACGTCAGAATTAGGAGAAGAACAGGTTCAGCTAGGAGATCGCCAGGAGCCGGAAGATCCTCAACAGGAGTGCCTTGTAGACGGAGCAGAAGAAGGAGTCGAAGCCTATTCTTGATGGTTCCACTTTACTTTTGTAGTTCATTCTTTTTCTATTGATCGATGTATTTTGTATCTCTCCAGTATTCTTTTGTTCAGTTTTGTATAAGGGCATGTTGACCCGAATTTTATGTTTGGGATGATTTACCATTGATGATATGTCTATTTTTATTCTGGGTTGTCTTTATATTCTTGCTATGTGTGATCGGGGACCTGTGACTTCTTGTATTTGTTTCTAGACGCTTAGCGTATTGGATTGAGAAGAAAAGAAAGAGAAGGAAAAAAAAGATAGTGTATATTTCTTCTCAATCTAATACGTCGCGGGCTTGTTCACGTCCCGATTCCCTGGTATTTTGGGAAGCGGGGCGTGACAAGGTATGATCTTAAAAAACATACTCTATAATTCACACAATTAAACCTAATAAAAATTTACCAATACCCAGATATGCTACTGCATCTTTAAGGAAAATATAACTACCAATTATAATAGACTTAAGCTATGGCTTTACGCTTGTAAAGGCCACAATAAGGTGGATATGATGTTAGTAACGAGTGTCCAAATGCTAAATATTGTAGAATCTCTAATGACTTAGGACATTGCAAAGGTAATACTGTTTGACGCAGTAGAATCTCTTATTGTGTGCACAACACAAGAATTCATTGCTAAGAAAAAATAGGTCAATCCTAACTTAACTTAAGTAATGAATTAGAAACACAGAAAAATTGTCATATATATGAAATTAGCATTTGTTCTCATTAACATTTGTTCTCGTTCAAATTACTTGTGAAGTTAGATGGGAAGATAAAAGATGAATGAGACCAGGGAAAGATAATATCACGAGAAATCCAGGTCCAGTATGATGTCACAATCGACGTAGATGATGAAGACACCACTGCAGAATTACCCTAGAAAAAGACAAAAGTGAAGAAGGTTTGATCTTGACTCAATCGAAAATGAAACAGAAAGGATAAAAGACAATATTTTCCTGATATTTTATAGAATAGCCTAACTTTTTGAGTAAAATTTGGAATATTTGCAACAGGTTTTTACAAAATTTTAAATATTTTTATATACTTATTTTGTAGATGCTTTTATCATATAAAATTATACTAGAGTTAGTAATAATATTTAGTTTATGGTTTTTAATGAAGTATATTAATGATTAGGAAGAAAATCCATATTCTTTTTTGTGTCATTTTAGCCACTTCTAAACAATTGTCTAAGCTTATTAGTTTTAATTATTCCTCTTGCTATTGTAATGCTATTTTTAAGTATTTTTTCACTTTTGCGACGCTATACTTCATTAGGTAAAGCTTTGTTTCATGTCGATCCAAATAACATGAATATTCAAATTAACTTCTCGTTGGTTTCATGTCAATTCAATTATCAACATGACACTTTAAATTGGGTGTAGCCCATTTAAACAAATATGAAAAAAGATAAATAATCACAATATTAAATTTTAGAGATATAAGTGAGCAAAAACTATCAAATTAAAATCGAAGAACAAATTTTAGTAAGGAAATAGACTAAAAATAAATAATTATGATATTTAATCATGTGCAATGCACGTACATAAAAGCTAGTAATATAACATATATGGGCTCTTAAAATAAATTTTAATATGTTTATTTATTCTATGAGATTAATCGATCCTTAAGAAAATCCCTTGCTTGATCAAGTAGGAGTTCAAGGTCTCTTTGAATTTCATCAACTTTATCCAACCTTTCAGGCTTCAATTACTGGAAATTTTTGATTCTAGCTAAACAAAATTGAATTTGTTTAATCGTCTCCCAAAATACTCGCAAAATAACAAAAAAAAAAAATGTCAATGATAGGATATTTAACCAAAAGCCAACATGGCTACCAACATGGTTGACAATGGTACAGATATATTATCATCTACAACATCACTGATGGGAAGGGACTCCACAAGAGTAGCTACTAAGGAAACCAAAGCTACCATCGCCACTGCATTCCCCCAGTCCAAGTTGATACATCCGAAAGCCGAAAAATAATAGAGCATCCTAAATCATGAGAATATAGATATCAATAACACCACAAATTCAAAAATTATTACATAATAATGTCAAGGTTATTTCTAGATACACACTGTATTCTATTTTATTAGCATATATACATCCCTGAGCTTTATGACATCATTATCTTACTCGTTAGTTTTTAAACTCTCTTGGAAATCAGGATTGTCAGAATTCAACGTTTGCAAATAACATAGCCACAAGATGTTGAGTTGAGATGAGCGATGGACACTAAGAAATATATTGCTATTATTTCTTTAGTAGTACAAACACACTAAACTCTCAAAACAAATACTCTCTTTCTTCTCTTTCTTTCTCTGCTACTGGAATCTCACTACACTACTCTTTATTTATCTCTCTCTGGACCCTCAAGCTCTCACTCTTCTTTTTATTGTTTTACTTGCTTGGGATGATTTTTAACACACAACTTAGGGGGTATTTATAGTGTTACATTGGGGGTAGATGGGGTTGTTGGCCACTGTTATTTTGGTGGCTGATGGGATTGGTAGGTGGGAGAAAACGTTCTGCTGACTTCAACACTCCCCCTCAGCAGCGACTTTTCTATCCATGAGTCCAAGCTGACTTCGAAATTCTGAAAACTTTGAAGTACTTAGTGCTTTGGTGAATATGTCAGATGTTTGTTCATTTGTCCCGATCGGCTTCATAACAATCTCCTCCTGAAGAACTTTCTCTCGAAGAAAGTGATGATGTACTTCGATATGCTTTGTCCTAGCATGAAAAACTGGATTATCTGCCAATCTTATTGCAGACTGATTATCACAATGTAAAGCTACTGAATAGTCTGTGGACTGATGTAGATCTCTCATTAACTGAAAAAGCCACGTGCTTTCCTGAGCTGCCATTGCTGCTGATCTGTACTCTGCCTCTGTAGTTGACAGTGACACCGTTGGTTGTCTTTTGCTGCACCAAGATATAGCCGCTGAGCCGAGACTAAACATGTATCCAGTAGTAGACCTTCGAGTGTCATGATCTCCAGCATAGTCAGCATCACAATAGCCATAGACCGCACATTCTTCTCCTTTCTTATACATGAGACCATAGTTAATTGTACCTTTGATGTACCTTAGGATCCTTCGGATTGCTTCTAAGTGAGTCTTCTTTGGCTTCTGCATGTATCGGCTCATCACACCAACTGCAAATGAAATATCTGGTCTTGTCATAGTTAGATAGATTAAGCTTCCAACTAGTTGTCGATACATAGTTGGATCTTCCAAATCTTTTCCTTCATGTGCACACAGCCTCAGATTTGTCTCCATTGGTGTTGAGATTGATTTGCAATTGAACATCCCGTATTTGAGCAGCATATCCTTCGCGTATTTTTCTTGGCACAAGAATAATCCATCTTTCCTTCGGTCGACCTCCAATCCGAGGAAATGCTTGAGCTCTCCAAGCTCCTTCATTTGAAACCTAACCGAGAGATTTGTCCTCGTTCTTTGGATTTCCGCATCATCATCTCCAGTTATGATTAAGTCATCCACATAGACCAACACGATTGCTAGTCTACTACCAGTCTGTTTGACAAATAAACTAGAATCTGCATGGGCAAGAGAGTATCCACTTTGAATTAAAAACTCACCAATCTTGCCATACCAAGCTCTCGGAGCTTGCTTCAATCCGTAGAGAGCTTTCTTTAGTTTGCAAACGTATCTTTCTTTTTCCTTGCTCTCAAAACCGATAGGTTGCTCCATGTAAATCTCTCGATCCACCTCACCGTGTAAAAAAGCGTTCTTTACGTCCATCTGCCAAAGCTTCCAACTTTTGCTGGCTGCTAGAGCTAGCAGAACTCGAACTGTTGTTATCTTGGCAACTGGACTGAATGTCTCATCATAATCCAGTCCATACTGTTGAGAGAATCCTCGAGCAACCAATCTTGCTTTGTATCTTTCAATCGACCCATCCGGTCGAGTCTTGACTTTGTAAACCCATTTGCAGGAGATAGGTTTGACATCTTTGGGCTTTGGCACCAACTCCCAAGTTTGATTCTGATGAAGAGCTTGAATTTCTTCCTCCATTGCTTGTCTCCATTCAGCAAATTCGTATGCTTCCTCGAAGCTAGATGGCTCCTTCACATCCTCTATAATGGCAGCATTAGCATACTTAGGATTCAGTTTTCTGAGTCTTGTTGATCTTCGAAGTTGTTCAGTTGGTTCTTCTTCGATATTCTCCATCTGGCTTGGACGCTCCTCTTCTGATATTATCTGATGAACACCGGTTTTCCATGGAGAGCTTGATTCTGTCTTCTCTGATTGATGTAGTCCTTCTTCTTGACTTGGCTCCCCCAGCTTCTTCTGCAACTGATCCTCTAAATCATTAGAGTCTGGGAGCACAACTTCTTGTGGAGTCCACCAAGACGAGGCTTCGTCAAACACAACATTTCTTGATGTGTAGCACCGTTCGGTTGTGGGATCACAACATCTCCATCCTTTTCTTTTACTATCATACCCCACAAATATACATCTTACAGCCTTTTTATCGAACTTGCTGCGTAAGTGATCAGGCACAAAGACATAACATACACAACCGAAGACTCTGAAATGGCTTACAGTTGGGTTGGTATTCCACAACTTCTGAAAAGGTGACATGAACCCCAGCTTCGGTTGTGGTAGCCTATTGATCACGTGCGCCGCAGTCTTCATACACTCCGCCCAAAAACGTCCTGGTACGTTCTTGGCATGAAGCATGCTTCTGCAAATTTCGGCGAGGTGACGATTCTTTCTTTCGGCTACGCCATTCTGCTGCGGAGTATTTGGGCACGTTAGCTGTCGTCGAATCTTGTGCTGCTTCAGGTAGTCGTAAAACTCCTTTGATGTGTACTCGCCCCCGTTGTCTGTGCGTAGGCAACGAATCTTCTTGCTGAGTTCTACTTCGACTTCTTCTCGAAATTGTTTGAATTTGAAGAGTGCTTCAGATTTTTCCTTCATAAAATCAACCCAGACATATCTCGAGTAATCGTCGATGAAAGTGATCATATACCGCATCCCACCGATTGATTCTTGTTTTACTCGACCAAATACATCTGAGTGTACAAGCTCCAAAGGTTCCTTGGCTCTGAACTGTGACTCGTGATACGGTAATTGATGCGCCTTACCGTACTGACAACCTCCGCATACGGTCCCTCCACGTATATCCAAGTGTGGAAGACCCTTCAACATTGACTTCTCCATCATGATTTTGAGCTTGTGATAGCTCACATGGCCAAGTCGAGCATGCCACAAATCAACCGTCTCATTCTTTTTGGCTTTATCGATGTATGCCGATTCTGCCGACATCACATAGACAGATTCTACCTTCCGTCCCTCCATGACAGGTTCTCCTGGTGGCTTCAAGTTTCGATAGACTTTTACATCTTGTGGCCCGAATACCACATAATTTCCAGAAGCTGTTAATTGGGAAACAGATAGAAGATTCTTTTTCATACCCGGTGCATGGTATACATCTTGTAGTTGTATCTGATTCGGGTTGTAGCGCGGCGTAAATGCAGTCTTTCCGATGTGTGTGATAGGTAATCTTGAATTATTTGCTATCACAACTTCTCGGCCGCCCTTATACTCCTTCATCTTGACAAGTTTCTCCTTATCTCCCGTCATGTGATTGGAACAGCCAGAATCAACGATCCAATCTTTATTATAGCTGATTTCTTCTTGATCTGAAACTGCTGCAAATGCGGACTTGGATTCTTCTACAATCGAGGTTAGCGCCATACCAACAACCTCGTCTTCGTCAACTGGTACATCTTCAATGATGGCCACGGATGCTTGAGCATCCCATTCTTCTTCATCATCTTGATATCTGCGCAATGTTGCAGCATTGCCCTCTACCGGCCTCTTCTTGTAGCGGCAGTCTCTGGCAAAGTGTCCTTTCTTCCCACAGTTGTAACAACTACTATCAGGTCTCCTTGCTTGACGATCACCTTGCCCTTCACGCTGTTGTGTTTTGTTGGTGTATGGTCGTCCTGGCTGCCTCCTTGCACCAGCCTTTCCATACTCCTCTTTTCTTGCGCCTTTTGGTTTGCCTCTTTCCTTGCTGCTGAAAAGTGCTTCATCTTCACTTTTTATTGAAACGCCGGCCATTTGTTTGGCTAGGGTTTCCTGTGTAGCGAGCAAACTCTCCAACTCTAATAATGTTGGTTGAGTCGGCCACCCGTGTGTAGCAGCAATGAGACCGTGATACTTCGGTCTCAAACTGTGGATGATTATTCTCCTCATCCTTGCATCAGATACCTTCGAATCTGGATCTAGTTGAGCAATATCTGAACAAAGTGATTTTACTTGCTTGAAATACTGACTTATTGTCAGATCCTTCTGTTGCAAGGTCATTAATTGATTCTCCAAGAGTTGAAGTCGAGCATCATTCTTCTTTGAAAAGAGTGTGGCAAGCGTATCCCATGCCTCCTTCGGAGTTTTGTCATCTCGCATGTAATCTACGAGATCTTCTTCTACTGTCGTCTTCAGCACATACATAGCCTTGCCAGCTTTGATATTCCACTTCCTTAGTACTTCGCCAGCCTCCCGAGGTGTTGTAGTTTTAGCACCCCCGATGACCTCCCAGAGGTCTTGTCCTTGTAAATAGGACTTCATACACGTCTCCCAGTAGCTGTAGTTATTGCCATTGAGTTTCTTGAGTGTATTAGTCGTATTTGCCAGATCCGCCATCGTGACGTGGTACTGCTTCAGTATCTCCACGCAAGTCTGGTCCTTGACCAACCAGCTTCACAGTCCCTGACTGAGCACGAACTTCGGCCTTCAATAATGCCGATAAGATCACCGTAGGAGAGAGTAGATCCCTGACCGCCTTGCTTCTATCACGAGCTACAACTTTTACTATTTCACGTGAACAGTAACTGTACTTATGAACAGTGTCCGTATCTGTGAATAGTACCGTACTTGTGAATAGTACCGTATTTTTGAACAGTGCCGTACTCGTGAATAGTACCCGTCACCTTCAAAGGGTAAATGATAATCTAACTTATTTTCTGATGTGGAGGATCCACCTTTGGTGGCAGCCACAGAGCATACGATAAGTAGATATATACAAGTACCCTAAGTTGGCTCTGATACCACTTGTTGGGACAAACCCGGGGCCTAATAGAGCAGGGTCGCAGCAATAGTAGAGCAAAAGTAGAGATAAAATGTTGGACACACAGATATCTCACTACACTACTCTTTATTTATCTCTCTCTGGACCCTCAAGCTCTCACTCTTCTTTTTATTGTTTCACTTGCTTGGGATGATTTTTAACACACAACTTAGGGGGTATTTATAGAATTACATTGGGGGTAGATGGGGTTGTTGGCCACTGTTATTTTGGTGGCTGATGGGATTGGTAGGTGGGAGAAAACGTTCTGCTGACTTCAACACAAGATTCCTAACATAGCCACAAGATTCTGGCTTAAAAACTAACGGAAAAAAAAAATAACGTTGTCATGGGAGTTACAGGCAGGGGTGGATCTAGGATTTCAATTCTGGGGGGCCGCGTACAAAAGATAGACGAAAAATTTTCTTAATGTAATTTTATTCACAAGAGATACACCATAACCCAAACAAAAGGAGTAGTATAGCCAACGTCAATATCTACAAAATATTTCAAAAGAGGAAGACAAAAATTATGTAGAAAATATTCAAATAAGCATCATCTAATTTTTTATAACTAAAACTTCTCAAAATTATGTAGAAAAGAGCAAAGTTGGAGGCAGGGGGCAATTTTTTATAACTAAAACTTCTCAAAATTATGTAGAAAAGAGCAAAGTTGGAGGCAGGGGGCCAGGGGTGGATCCCAAAACTTTGGGGGGCCGTGGCCCCCCTGGACTATATATATATCCGCCCCTGGTTACAGGGTGTATGCGTTAACAAAATACAACATGAATGATAAGTAGCTGTACTCCCAAAATAAGAAGGGTAACAGAAATCTCAATGACTCACCCAATGGAGGAAATGAAACCGAATATGAACATAGAGATGCTTCCCATCCAGCTCTTATGTTTATTATATGGAAGCTTTGAAGATCCAAACCTTCTCCCTACAATATCAGCAAAGCCTGCGAGGAAAAGGGTCACATTTGAAAAAAATGCCTGTAAGAATATAATGCAAGATTGAGGCGCATGGAAATTTCACCATCTCCTCCACTCATCATAGCCAGGACCAGAATCCCAACAGGAGAATCTCGCCAAAACACCAGAGCACAAAACATCAATACCAGGACATAGTACAGAGGACCTCTAAGCAACTCCCTGCACATTAATATATTAATGATGTAAATAAATTATCTCTGTAGAGATTTTGATCAATGATGACAAAGGATTTTACTCTGGTTTCCCTTCTCGGGTAAGTGACTTGATTAGACCTTCATCCTTAAAAAATGAAAAACCATAAATGACGAGCCTTATGCAGTTCACAAGAGGCACAACTGCAGCAAAATATCGAGCTTCTGCTGATGAACTGCAAACAGAAAAATAGTTCCTAACATCCGTAGGATTTAAAGGGAAATGATAGGTGGAAAAGCTATATAGCAGAATTAGGCTTCCAAAGATTTCAAATCTGAGGGGGGAAATATACCTGAAAAACGGCCAGGCAGACATATAGAGAAGACCAGATGATACATGAACAATTTTTCTGCTCAAGCTCTGATTTAAATTGGAGACAAGTGAGAAACATTGTGCAAGTCATCCAGCTAAAATGAGGAAAAAAGGGGGACAAACTTGTATATTCTTTCTAAATAATTCTATCAGAATGGATAAATGAGAACACATTCCTAGCTTGTATATTCTTTCTGATAAGATAATGGTGACACTTGGAGACAAGACATATGAGAATACAAGGCAAAAGACACAAGAAGCAATGACCAATTCTTACTTGTAAGTGAGTTAATTGGAAATTAAACAAGAGTTCTTGATCTGTAACTACTTGTGCGTTTTTGTGCCATATTGTGTCTATGTAGGCACATATGTCCACTTATTAGCTTGGAATAAATGGAGATAGAAGGTTATCAGGCCTCACAAGTTACACAAACTTCGACTGACACTGGGGGGAAAAGACTATCCAAGAAAACAAGCCCAATATCAAAGAAGGTATCCGCAAATGTTAGTGGACGGCAAGCAATTTCTAAGGATAAGAACAGCGAAAATTTGTAAAGAAGGTATAGATAGATTTTTACCAAAGTATGTAGAATGGATGTCTACAGACACTTGGATACAACCAGGTGAGGTGAGATGGTCATAGAAGAAGTAAACAAGGAAGTTGGGCACACCATTGGGACTTCCCGTGAAATCAAGGCTCATCATGATGAGATGACGTAATTGATTGTTGTCAGATATTTACAAGAACTACCATGATTGCAAGTGAGAAGTGGCTACGAATCACCAACACAGTCCTCGTCTTCATGTTTCCATGTCTGATACATGTCAAATACATGCGCAGCGGACCCCTGAGACATGTTTATAAATGGAAATCCATTTTGGATTTGGAAAGGGGACAAAAACCCAGCTTTGGCTCCTGGAACAACTTCCTACTTAACAAGAGGGAGAGAGAATACTCTTATCTCTATGCAAGCTTGAAGCAGGGAAAAGGATTCCCAAAAGGTCCATAAGATTAGAGTGAAATAATTAGATTTGGGTTTCGACCAAGGTAAGAGCAGTATTATAATCCAGTATAACGGTCACTAACAGAAATAAACCCACTCCAAATAGGAATTTGACTTGTACTATTAGCTTATATGGCTGGGTCATATTAGCTTATATGGCTGGGTCAACTTCAAACCAAGCAAACACTAAACTAGCTAATTTGATCAGAAAACATTTAGCAACGAACCCCAGAGCCCTTCCCTCGATGAATACTTGGTGCCCGACACACCTGGAAACATTATGCACGTTCATTTTGTCCGAGTGTATAAAAAATCTCTTGTGAAGGAATGAAATGAACTATTACATACAAATCATCTCTCTTTTGTTTCAGTATCTACCTCCCTCCGATGTTTTACTATCCTCCCAAGTATTCAAACATTGCTTATTTCAAATTTGTTCTAATTTCATCATTTCTTGCAAGAATACAGAAATGTGACAGTTAAAAGCGCATATTCTGAAGTAAAAACCACATAATGAACATTATGCAACCCCACATCAGTTTACTTATGAAGAAAAATCATGAAAAAACGGAGACAAATCCAAGCTTTTCCATTAGCTCATGCAATCTAACAAACACATTACGATGATAGAACAAATTGGTACCAAATTCTACAGTAATTACAATGGTCTCCAGGGAATTACAAAACAATTTGTCATCCCAAAAACGGAAATCCTAAGTCAAGAATCATCAACAGCACTACACTGAGCACTAATCGAAACCAATGAAGCTCCTTTACTTCATTTTCCACTCAAAATCTTTCTTTTTTGACGCAGCGCGGAAGTGATAACCTTGGAATCCACCAAGGATGTTCTCTGAATCCACAAAGAACGATCTTCGAATCCACGAAGAACTTCGAATCCACGAAGAAAATATTAAAAAGAAAAATTTTATTGATGAAAAGTTATTCTCCTTTGGGGTTACATGACTCTTCTTAAATAAAAAAATAAATAAGACTCCTAGTAAGACTAAAATTACAAAAATAAAAAGTATCAAATGAGACTCCTAGTAAGACTAGAATTACAAAAAAAAGTATCAAATTCTATCATAAAAAGACTCCTTATAATAGAGAAAACCCTGTTTGCCAAAAAATTCCTAAAAAAAGACCCGTTTCAAACTTAATTTCAAAATCCGACACAATTGGGTTAAAACTGGGTCGGTTTTTAAAAAAAATTCCCAAACTTCATGAGGGTTGAAGTCCCGTGAAGTTTTGTTATATAAAAAGACTTCAACTCCCGTGATGTTTGGAAACTATTTTTTAAAAACCGACTCAGTTTCAGCCAACTGGGTCGGTTTTTGAAATTAAGTTTGAAATGAGTCTTTTTTTTGGAATAAAATTCAAAACATATCGGTTTTGAAAATTTGTCCATCAAAATTGATTTTGTTTCCTAATCTAATTTGACTCTAAAATTGAATTTATTTTCTAATCTATATTTACTAATATAAATGGACTCCAACTCAGATTAAACGTCCTACATCATTTTACCTCGTTTAAGTCCCCACCAAGCTCAAAATCCAATATTTTCCCGGAAAAAAAATGAGGAATGAAAATGAAAAGGACCTGTTCGATTAGATTATGCTTGGTGAGAGAATCAAAGGCAAGAACGAGAGAGTACGCCCCGGCCAAAACTAGGGCAGTGGCCCCACCGTCCTGCGCCAGAAGCCGATGACATGGCGGCGGCCGAGGTGACGCGGCGGAGTCCGGAGAAACGTGGCGGAGGTCGCCGGAGGGCGGCGAGTTTGAGAGGAGGGAGAAAGGACGCGTGGCGGCGGGTGGATGAGGGTCTGATGGCGGGTAGGTTTGGGTGAACGAAGAAGAGGGAAACCATCGTACAATAAGGGACAGTAGAGTAGGTGATCACCGTGAACAGATTTTGTTTGGACAAATTTTTAAAACCACTCACTTTTGAAATTTATTTATAAAAAACGGCTCATTTTAACCTTTATTTCAAAAACCGACCAAGTTGGTTGAAACTGGATCGGTTTTTAAAAAAAAAAATTCCGAACTTCACGGGAGTTCAACTCCCGTGAAATTTTGTTATGAGAAAAAACTTCACGGGAGTTCAACTCCAGTGAAGTTTGAATTTTTTTTTTCAAAAACAGACCCAGTTTCATCCAACTAGCTCTGTTTTTAAAATTAAGGTTAAAAGAGGTCTTTTTTTGGGAATAAATTTCAAAACCGGATGGTTTTAAAAATTTGTCCGATTTTGTTTGTATTTTTTTGGGTTAATTGCATATTAGTCTCTTACATCAACCTTAATTGCAGGGTAGTCTCTCGTATCTAATTATTTGCCTATTAGTCCCTTAAATGTTCAATTTTCTTACGAAATTGTCCTTCTGTTAGAAATTCTGTTAACTAATCCAACCACAGTTGGGTTAAACATTAACCCAACATCTCAATTTTTTTCCTTGACATGAAGAGAAATGGTGTTCATTGCAAATTTAGAAGATTTTATAGTTTTTAGAGGGAATCTAACTATTCTAAAATGCTCAATATTGGGTATGGGGAGGTAGAGGGCCATTGGAGAAGCAAGAGTAAGTGGATTTGGGTTTTAGAGAAGTGTGTTCGAGTTTAAACCTGATAAGAACTGGGTAAATGGGGTTATAAATGAGAGAGTTAATATGGGTAGGAGTATAACGGGTAATCTAACAATTTCTTTTAAATTTAACACCGATTATTAACGCCTCCTAACATCATGGACGAGTTGGCAAGAAAATTGAAGATTTAAGGGACTAATAAGCAGATAACAAGATCTGAGGGATTATTTGACAGTTAAGATTGATTTAAGAGACTAATATGCAATTAACCTTTTTTTGGGTTTTTTCCCTAAAAAATAATATTTAAAATGGTTTTTTAAAGTACATTAAAAAAAATCATCTTAAATTTGATAAAGACCATCACTGGAGATTTTTTAATATGTAAATCATTTTATTGGTGGGATTTTTTTATCGCTTTATTGGTGGGTTTAGTCTTTAGTCGATCACTGTTTGCTAAATTTTTCTTAATTAATTTTTTTGTTACAGCATGCAAATAGTTTAAATGTTAATCCCCAGTAGGAAGTTGACGTGCATCACACTCTATGCCTAATCAGCCATATTCGAAGAGGGACGACTCCAACAACTTCAGCGGTTGACCCAACCTGACCGAGAACTTACGAGACCGACTAAAAAGGCGGTACTTATCGAACTACTGGAAAGATCAAGATGAAAAGCATCCTCACTCGGCCTATCATTCCGGCTAACCGAACTCTCGATACTCGACCCTTTCAAGTTGACAATTTGCGAAGCTGACTAAAAAGACGGTGTTTATTGACCTCCAACGAGACAAAATGGAAGACGGTGTATCCTTGAGCTCCCCACTGACAATCGATTGCCATCACATTAAATGTGTGATCAGAATCATCATTGCTCCAACCCAGAAAGTCCTTATGACTCATCGGACCTTGTCAGCACTATGTACACTCTATTACCCTCACATTAAATGCCTGAGTGACTCACCGCCCACTGCGATCGACACCTATAAAGCAGATAACGATTGAGCTGTGAGCTTGACTCGGCCGAAGTTACCTATCCACCCTTTTGATCTGCTATAAAAGGAAACTAATATCTGTTGCCTAGGGTAAGCAATTCTCTTACTAAAAAACCAAGGACTTAATTCTTACTTCTTCACTCAAACTCTAAGCTGACTTGATCGTCGAAAGAACCATCGGAGATCCTAACTCCAATCTCTTATGTGTTCTTCATGTACAGGACATGACTGTCAACTCAATAACTAACCGTCAAGAAGCTTGAGGACCCTAACACCCATCATAATCTACGAATAAACCTTCCGTTTGATAGCTAATATTAACAATTTGAATTATCCAAGCCATCATCAATTACATTTATAATTGGAAAATACGCGTCGCATATGTAACTAATGTTAATAATTTGAATATTTCAAATCATAAATTGAGCAAAAATTCACATATAATTAACTGGAAACTAAATCTACTTATAAAATAATCTACGTACAAAAACTTTAGAAACACTTTCTACTGATTCGGCCTATTTTAAAAAAGTAATACGCGTTAGGCATTTGTAACTAACGTTAATAATTTGAACATTTCAAATCATAAATTGAGCAAAATTTAACATATAATTAACTGGAAACTAAATCTAGTTATGAAATAATTTACGTATAAAAAACTCTAAAACACTTTCTTTTGATTCGACCTATTTCAAAAATGATTTTGATGAAGACGGAAAAAAACCCATATTTTTTCTATGTTCTGTTCAAACTCTGGCATTCTTTTATGTATGTATTATATACCCGTCAATCTATAAAATTTGCAAATTTAGGTTTTAAACTGGATATTTGCTAATTAAACCCCTAAACTTACGCTTATTGGCTAACTAGCACTTTCCATGAAGACACAGGAGCCGACAACTTGCCTTTTTATCCCACCGATCCCAAACTTCACTCTCTCTCTCTCTCTCTCTCCCGCCCTTCTCTCCCCAAAAAAACCCTCGCTCTCATTATTTCACCCTTAAAAATCCATGAGAAATTACCAATTTACCCCTATCTTGCTCCTCTCTCTCCTCCTCGTCCCCTCCCCCGCCGCCGCCTGCTCCTCCGGCGCGTGCCAGGTACTCCCCCGCGTCCTCGGTCACGTGCTTTCCCCTCTCAATCCCTAACCAAAATCGACTAAATTTAACTGCTTTCTTCCAGCTTCTTGATTCTTGCTCACGTGCCGACGACTGCTCCGCGGGACTCTACTGCGGCAAGTGCGCCGCCGCCGGCAAGAAACAGCCCATCTGCGTCCGAGGGCAAGCAAACCAGCCCGCCTCGATCGTAAACCCTACCACCTCTCAATTTCGGCTCTTTTTAGGGTTTTGCTTCTTGAAAGGGTTTTATTGCAATTTTATGCCTTAAATTTTTAGCATTTTCGATTTTGATAGGATGGGGTGTAATTTGCCAAAAAAAAGCCTAAAAATTTACCACTTTTAACTTAAATACTCAGAAATTTGTTTTGCGATTGCTACGGTTTACTGCCAAATTTAATTGGCGTGTGTTTGGAAAAGTGAAGAAATAGATTAAATGTTTAATTTCAATGGGTTTAGGGTTAAATAGCTGAAGAGAAATAAGGGATTTAGGTTTTATAGAAAATTCTGTACGTTGATGATACAGAAGATATTGAAACTAGAAGTGCTGAAATTTTGGTTTTTTTGGGGCCGGCTAACTTAAATTCTGATGAACAATTGTTGGACTTTATGACATTAAATTAAGTGCAAGTAACCCTTTGAAAAATTTGATCTTCTGTAGGTGAAGGACTTGCCTTTTAACAAGTATACTTGGATAATGACGCACAATTCGTTCTCGATTGATGGTGAGCCATCTTCTACTGGAGTTCCGAGGGTTACATTTTATAATCAAGAAGATACCGTCACGAATCAGCTGAGGGTATTGCTTTTTATAGGGTTATTTTTGTGGGTTGATTTGTATGGTATGTAGTTTAATTTCTGACTTGATTATTGATTTAGAATGGTGTTAGGGGATTGATGCTTGATATGTATGATTTCGAGGGGGATGTTTGGCTCTGCCACTCGTTTCAAGGGCAGTGCTACAACTTCACTGCATTTGTGAGTTGCTCCTTCTTTAAGGAATTCTGACAAACAATTCATGTGCGATTTATATTCATAGATTTTTTTTAATTTTTATGTTTTTTTTATTTTGGTATCAGGAACCAGCGATTAATACTTTAAAGGAGGTGGAAGCTTTTTTATCCCAGAACCCCTTGGAGATTGTGACTATAATAATTGAAGATTATGTTCATGCTCCAAAGGGGTTGACCAAGCTATTTACAAATTCTGGGTTAACTACGTATTGGTACCCTGTGACAGCGATGCCTGCTAATGGTAAAGATTGGCCGAGTGTGTCGGATATGGTTGCAAGGAACCACCGGTTGTTGGTCTTCACTAATATTGCATCAAAGGAAGCGGATGAAGGGATTGCTTATCAGTGGCGATACATGGTGGAAAATGAGCGTAAGTTCTCATGATAGCTTCTGTTAGCTAGTTTCGATTTATTATTGGTCATTTATATTTATCTCATATGTTTGTCCTTTTTTTCCATATATGTTAGAACATTTATGAAATATAATCTCATTTTTACATTCTTAGAGGCTTTGTCAATCAGGATGTATCAATCAGTATCAATAAATTGGATTTGTTGTTCAGTGGCTACCTAGCGCATTTTTAGTTTGATATGTTGATAATTAAGATCTTTTGTTTCCATGGTACGAACCACAGCCACTGGCCTGAGAAGCCTTGAGTTCTTAACCAGCAACTATTGATGATCTTGCTAAGTTCATGGCAGAGAAGTTGAAAGATGGGTTAAAACTCTGGATGCACATGTTAACTTTTGAATTACTTGTTCATACTTCTTGGATGTAATTATGGGCATTAGTATGTCTTGTAAGGACTTTGGAATGTGTAGAATTTCAATGGCATTTCATTATCCCCGATGATCGATGTCTCTGAATTCCTTTACTTCCTGGAAGGATTCATTCCACATTTATTCAACAAAAAGTATGTTGGCTGTGACCATCCTCCTTTATATGGGCTTGGGGCTGGCAAAAGTATGTTTAAATAATGCAAGAATTTCGTTGTTCCATCCTTCCTCTTGAGCGTTGGACAGATTGCAATATCTTGTTTTTATCGCAAGCTGCTAGTAATCCTTCCCCCCCCCCCATGGCTCGTTAACTTTGTATAGTAATCCTTCCCCCCCCCCCATGGCTCGTTAACTTTGTACCCATTGCTTATTGCGAGATCTTAGCCCCTCAGGAACTCAATGTAAACTCCACATTTGTTTTTATTTACTGGACGTTATGAGTTCTACCAAAAGCTCTGTCAACTTCCAGCTTATTCTTCCCAGAATTAAGTCATTCCACGTGAATTAAAGTTAAACATACGTCAAACATCTTGCTCTTTTACTCTACCCTCTTACTACCTATAGCCTATAGCTTGCATATTCATTACTTTTGACAGTGATCTTGCTGTGAGGCATCATCTGGATCTTTACTTTTTCATATCATTTTCTATGTACACGGATTGAAACATGATATGGATGTTCTTACAACAAGCTAGAAAGTTCTTTTCAATTTTTCAATCAGACCGAATAAATCAATTAGTAAGTAGATAGAGGCATAAGACGGCAGCAAATTGGAACAATTTTCAATACTACTTTCGCCAGCTTACTTTATCTTATTGTATCTTCTATTTTAGCAAATAATGTATATAATGTCATTTTCTTTTGTCTGTTTCTGCACAAATTGGATGTTGTGGTCAAGATAGCAAAGGGAGATGTGTCTAGTCCACATCTAGTAGGAGTATAGATATATAATTCATTTAGAGAGAACTGGTCAGCCCCTTTTAGAGAACCATGTTGATTCATGGGCGTTTGCACCGAGTAAGCAGCATCACTCCTCATGGTATTGTTTTCAGCGAAGGTTGACTCCATTGTCGATTCTATTAAACTTTGATTTGTTTACACGAAATTACAATGAAAATAAACGAAAATACAACTTTCGAGAAAATAACACAGAAATTGTTTATCAACTCCTGCTTTGTGGGACTTTGCCTGTGCCGTGAGTGCTTTGGCTCGTTGACCACCGATTCAAAGATCGTGAGGGTGCTTAGGGATCTCTCCTTCGTTTATCGAAGTAAAGATTTGAAAGCGAATATCTTATCGATGTAAGATGTCCGCTCTTTCAAAGATCAAGTCTGAGCTTAGATCTCTAGGAATCACCGAATGATGCTTGTCAAAAGGTGAAAATCTCTCTTTCTTCCTCAAAATCACCAAAGGCTTAAGTCTCTTCTGCTCCAAAATGCTCTCTGTCCTTTATTTCGTGTCTAGGGAGGTATTTATAGGGGTCTAAGTGCAACACAGTTGAAACGGGGGCAAAATAACCGACTGGATGTTTTCTCTTTGGCCGCTGCAGTCTACACTGCCGCGGCTATTGGCGCGGCAGTATAGGCTGTCGCGGCCAAAGAGGCAGTTACCAGCACGTTTCATCGTGCTTGAAACCGCTCTCCCACGACCTTTAACCACTCTTTTCGTGGTTTAACTGCTTGTCCACGTCAGCACACGTTCTATTTCTGATACGCCGCCACGTGGACTTCAAAAAATCATCGAATAACTGCCTTATAACTGCCACATCACCCCCCATAATAGCCGCGGCCTCATGAGCTGCCGCGCCTAAGGCGCGACACCTTTAACTGCCGCGCCTAAGACGCGACACCTTTAACTGCCGCGCCTAAGGCGTGACACTCTGAACTGCCGCGCCTAAGGCGCGACACTCTGAACTGCCGCGCCTAAGGCATGTCACCCTGGCTCGCTTGTTGGTGTATTTGTCGTTGTGTCCACACTGCTCTTTTCTCATCCTTGAGTAGTGTTCGGATATCTATGAGCATTTTTTTTTGACACCTACAGATACCCCCTCCAAAGTATCTCAGACTCATCATTTTTTTAGAGAGTGGTCTGGGACACTTTGGATATGATAAGCTTTCCTTGCAATTTCTCCAGTGCTTTGTTGAGGAAATTGTGCAGAATGGTCTGTGAATGGCTTCAATTCTTGACTTCCTCATCTTTTGGTCTATTCAGTACTTTGTAGGATAGCTAAGATTCCTCCGGTGCAGCGTTTATCGCGTGGCCGTCGTCGAAGTCTTGAATCAGAACCGTTGTTGAAGATTGGAGAAATAGTTTATACTCATATACTCTATTGGAGTGTCTGGGAATGTATTCCAAATACAGAGGGAGATGTACGTGTTCAAACACCCAAGGAATTATTGTGTATGCACAGTGCCTCGGTGCGTCAGAGTGAACTGCCGCGGCAGCTTCTACTGTCGCGCTTGAGTGCGGCAACATAGACTGTCGCGCTCGAGCGCGACAGTGTCGAGTGCCGCGCAGCGCTTCGGCCCGTCAGGTTATAAGTCTGATTTTGGGCTTCTTCGGGTCATTTTTTCCCGCTTCTCTGAGTTCGAAACCTCCTCAAACACCCTATAAAAGGCTTTCTTTGGCTTTTCCCCTTTCACCTCTTCATATTTGGTTGATTCCCCTTTGCACGAGATCTAGGGTTTCGGGTGATTTCCTCAGAACTTGGTCTTTTTCAGATTCTTTCACTTTCCAGCCTTGATTCTTCTTGATCTTCGGTAAAACCTCACCCATAGTTTATGGATTAGGGTTTTATTCTGATTTCTTTTTTTTTTTGAGATCTAACATAAAAAACCTAACTTTTGATTCTTTAGGTTGATTTCACAATGTCTCCCAAGAAGACTCGTGCTCCCAAGGGCAAATCTGTAGCCCAGGCGTCGGAGGAGGTGGAGGCTGCTGTCCCTTCATTCGGAGGTGATTTTTTAACCCTTCCTCTGTTCAAAATTACTGTTTTCTGCTTGTATAACCTCGTTTGCCCCCTTCGAGGGGCATCCGGGAAGAGTTGACATCCTCCATCGAGAGGATTGACACTGCGAATTACATATCTTGTTCAATCAAGATAAGTACCACGACCAAAATACAATTTTGGCTCAAACCCTTGTTTTTCGAAACCAAAGGGTGCCATTCAGTTACCGCGGCAGCACGTACTTCCGCGGATGAGCGCGGCAACGTGTGCTGTCGCGGTAACGCGAGGACTTAGTCGTTGTCGCGGTTACTTAGGACGAGGGTTTTGGGTCTGTCAGACTTTTGTTATTCAACTGTTTCCGAACTCTTTCCTGCAGTCCCTTTTCCCTCTGTGGCCTTCTCTGATAGAGAAGACCCAGGCCAGAGCGGTATTCTTCACGCCTCCTTCAACGGCGACTTCCTGGTTAGAGAAGCCCATCAGTTTAGTGAGGGTTGTGATGACAGCGTTCCTGAATTGATTCGTGAAGGAAGTCGTCGCACTCTGCGTGCTTTGCTGACCGACTCACCCTTAACTCCAACCCGAGATTCTACCGAACCGTTGAAGAAGCCTGATTATCTGTTCGGAGATTCAATAGAAGATCCAGACATTCTCTGCCGTGGCCCTGAAATTTGGTTGAAGGAGCACGAAGGTGCTTTTCTATTCCTTCCTCCATTCCCTCGACAGTATTCACTTCTGCAATTAAGGAATTTGGCTGTTTCGAGGAAAATGACGTGGCACTTGACAGAAGACCATGAGCGCATTCATTGCGGATTCATTGGTAAAGATATTAGTGCCCCTGGCTCCATAGGTAGGCATAATATTCGTGGTCTTCACCCGGGGCTATTTGGACCAGATAGCGGGCCCCAGAACGAACTGATGATAAGGGCCAATACAGTAAAGAATAGACTCGCTCGGGTTGGCCGAGAACTTCCCATCCCAAAATTCAGGTGTTATGGATGGGTTCATTCTTTTCCCGACAAATGGTGGGCTAGAATGACCAACTATGTACTCCGTCGTTGGGATCAGGAGTTGAGGAATTTGGGATTATATGCTCCCATCCGAGCCAATATGTATGGTCTCCCAGTAAGTGTAGATCATTTTCTTGCTTTGTTCGAGTCTTATATTCTGGAGACCAATACATTTCTTACCAAAAATGGGGAGTTAGGGCTTCCGCTCCACGAAATGATGAAGGTATTCGGACTGCCATTGGGGAATACTCCTTATCAAGAATATTTTCCCAACAACCGTCAGCTTATGAAGATGAAGAAGGCTGGCTCTCCTGCTTATGACATTATCTGGGAGTTAACTTGTCATTATCAGACGGCAATAGCCAAGATCGAATTGAAGAGTAAGAAGGCGGCTCGAGTCAGTTTAAAACAGTTTGCCGACTACCTGTTTCAGAACCTCGAGAGCCCGACCGGTGACGCTGTCTGTGAATCACCGATTCTGACCCCTTCTGACGTTAATGGGCTAATTACAAAGATTAACGCCCAGTCTTATAGAACTGAGTCGTCTGAAGGCGGTTTTCTTAGGGGCACAAAATTCAGCACTTTCTTGTGGCAATCCACCAAGAGAATGAAGCCTGCGACTCTTCTTTCTGGTTATCTG